GCAGAAGATAAAATATTTTATTTTCCCCTTTTTAGTGCATTTAAATAAATTTATATTTTTTCAATGTATTTTTTATTTGTCATTGATTATTCATAAAAAGGATGTTTATATTATATTTTTACCTCTCTATATCTCTCCACTCTAATTATTTATTGAATAGAGAGAATACTGATATATTAAAATTTATATTGTAATTTAAATTAAAAAACTTGCAATATAAATTGCAAATATTTTGAATATTTTGAAAATATATATTTTATTCACAAAAATAAAACCTCATAAAGCGTGAATCTATAGTTGAAAAATTAAAATTTCAATTATATTACGAAAATAGAAGATATTTCACCTGGTATGTGTGTGTATGTTTTTTATTGATTTATATTCTCACAGGAAGAGGTATTTTGCCGAATTTTAATTCGAAAAGAAACGATAAATGCTTAATAGGCAATTATTCCTTACGAAGATAGAAGCTATGAACGATTAATTTTATTATAAAGAAATATACACTTTGTTTTCTTTCATTTTTTCTCAAATATATTTATATAACATACACAAACACCATAATTAGCAAGATACCCTCCTCCATATGGGAATATTGAGGAATGTGACGTAATCCAAGTGAGATAGGCTGGGAACTTGCCGTTTGGGATGAGATACTGTATGAGATTAGATGGCATATAAATGGCAGACAAATAATTCATCGTTACTTTGTTCTCTCGAGAATTAGGTGAGTACCTACCTACCTACCTTCCTCTAGTCCTAACCTACCAGGTCTAAACGGTAATCAAATATGTATATCATTTGGTACTGTATTCAAGCATATTTACCTCTTTTAAAGATATTATATTCAATACACATTCAGCATAATTCATAGGAGAATAAGTTTGGTTTATGATTAAATTTGACTAAATCATTTACTAAACTTAATCTCCCAGTATTTTTCTAGGAGTATAGTGAATAAATTCTCTATATATAAGAAATATAACTATACAAAGCACGAATTTTCATGTTAACTCTAAAATGAAACGAATATCTATTATCCTTAATGCTATAGGACATATATAGTTTTAAATATACTTGAGGTTTTACATATTTATGTATAAATTAACACAAAGCAATAACGCGCCATCTATACATATAAAATGAAAGAATTTAAAAGCACGAATGTTTCTTTTATACATAATACAAACTTCTACTGCCCTTATTGCGATCAAAAATATGTATTGGGAGGGCTTGGCTCTTCAGTGATGAACCCTACCAGCGGTTTCGCCAATTTAATCCACCAGACCGCTTCTCAGAGCTCTAGTACTGTATTGGACGATTCTGCTTATAATACGCAGCAATGAAGGGTGGAATCTCAAAAATGGTTTTCAAGGTAACTATAGATATACGCTTATAGGATAGTAGAATTACATTCAAATTCAATTTCAATGCATCGAGCAATGCTCTTCCGCAAACAATAAAGACAAGGTCAGTTAGACATAAGCAGAATTATCCAATACAGCATCAGATTTCTAAAAGCAGTCTAGTGGATTAATTTATAGAAGATGCTGAAAGGATTTCTCACTGATGAGCCAAGCCCTCCCAATGCATTTTTCATCGGAGTAAGGACAGTAGACATTTTTCTCATTTAGATGTTGAGGTAAAAATGTGTTCTTTGTATCTTTATTCCTTATATTTAGATGGCGTATTCTATATACGACTGGAAAATTATATTTTACATAACCCTGAATGATTCAAAGCAACGAATATTTAACGATATATTATTTGGGTTTATATAATATGAAGGAATTTAATTATTGTGTATGTGTGCGGCGAGCATAAACTATTAAAATAAATTGGTAAATTTCGAAATTGATTTCAAAGTCGGAAGGAGTATCATTATAAGTTCTCTTCATTAATAAATAATTTTTTAATTCAATATTAAATTGATTTAATATATGTAATAAATAAAATTCGTTTTTTATTTATTATATTAAATACATTCAGGGAAATACATTCAATTATATAATCATCAATTATATATTCATATATATATGTTATGAATAATTTGTTAGTTGTTGTTAGATAAAGGGTTGATAAAACAAAGGATCGATAAGATAAAGGGTTAAAGGTGCAGTCGTGATAAGAAAAATATAATTATTCACCATCAAGCAGCTTTTATTTTCAATTACTTGAGGAAAGATTACACATTATTTATTTTCACATTATATAGAATTTATAAATTTAATCCTATATTAGTGATTTAAAAGGATAGATATGTTAACAACGCATATTTATAACAAAACTGTATGACAAAAATTGAAAGAATTTCTAAAAATGATGATAACAAAAGTAAAATTATCGATGAATAAAATAAAAAATATATTTTTTAAAATATAGAAATATTTGAATTTTTAGATTATATAATATATATATATATATATATATATATATATATATATATATATATATATATATATATATATATATATATATATATATATATATATATATATATAATATATATTAAAAATAAAGAAGGCATCTCCTGACCACGAGCACATGTGCTTTTTAGATGGCAGAGCGCCATCTAGTGGAGCAAAAATAAACTAAACATTTATTTAGCTTTCTCCGTGATATTTGGCCAACCCAATTTCTTGATAAATCAAGAAAAGCCATCCACGAACGCGTTTCGCGCTGTTGGCGCTCGTCAGAGTGGAGTAGGCTGTAACCACTGCGACCAAAAAGATTTTTTGGTCCCAATGGCTCCCCGAGAAATCAAGAAATGGGCATTTAAGGCCAAATTTGCGTAAAGACGCTTAACACATCAGAAAACAATAGAAAAAATAAAAGATGTGTGGGTCAGGTGTTGATATTAAAATAAAGAAGGCATCTCTTGACTACGACCACCCTGACCATAATATATATTATAATGAGGCACAATAAACTAAACCTTTTCTTAAGTTTGTCTGTGTGTATGACACACCTGTTGCCTCTAAACTCTGTATAATACAAAATGTCACCAACACAAAAAGAGATTAACCATAAAATACATTGCTTTGAATTATCTATTTTAAATGGATGCAGTTAACGCACATTTAAATTGGAATTAATATAAAAGATATGTTGGTTTAACACAGATAATTGTTATTTAAAAGACACATTTTACATTGTAGGCGGATCAAATCAACACAAATACACATATTTACTCTACCATTATCCTGTAGAAAAATAAAGTTATATTCTAATAATTTGTGTTTTTTCAGTCAAGATGCGGGTTTTTGTTGGTTCTTTGCTTTGTTGGTTTCGTTGCGGCCTTCCCGCGTAAGTTGATTTTGGTCTACCTTTCCCCCCCCCCTAAATTATAGAAATAGTTGGCAAACATTCGAAAAGAGATTTAAGATATTATATTTCATTTTTTTTTTTAAATAATATTTCTGAAACCTTTTTATTTCCCTTCTATTAGTGCTTTAAAGGTTGTTTCATAAATATATATAGCAATCATTTTGATAATAGACTTTATAATACTTTATATGATAAGATTTGACACTTCACTTTCTGTAATGGCCGCAAATTTCAGCCGTGTAAGAATAATTCGATTTCATGATATCAGCACATTCTAAAGCTTCATTATTCTTGAAATGTCTCGTCGTTTGTGCAATGGATTAATACTCTAGTATATATAAATGCATATAAGATCATGACCAGGAAATTATATAATTTGCATCAAGGTTTTAAAGAAAGCCCAATTGATATATAATGAAACATTTCAAAAAGGAATAAAACGATGGCAAACATAGGTATTCTCTCTCTCCGGATTGTATTTTATATGATAAGGATGAATCAAAGATTCTAAAATTGTATACAGGAAGGTATTTTATTTCAAATTTGCATAAGCGCGCCTGTGGAATAAGATAAGCAAATATAAATTAATATTCGCATAGAGAATATTGGCCTATAAAAATAATGCTATCTACCGGTTAATATAGACGCAAATTATCCTGCATCTATTAGTAATTATTTATTATAACAAATAAATATTGATATCTATCAGAATAAATAGATATTGTACTTTAAAGTATTATATGTAAATATTAATCATACAAAAATAGCTCTTAAAATTAAAGATACTTCGGTCAGTATAAAAATATCATATCTCGACGTTTTGACAAAACCGATTGAGTTTTGTCAGGAGCAACTGAAACTTAAGACATTCAACAAAGCGTTTAAAATTATTCTAAGGTTTCAAGGGCGTTCTTAGGTGATATTTCAAAGATATACACTTTGCTGAATGCCTTAATTTTTATTACTCCTGACGAGGACAATTAAAATTTTGTCGTGATGATATAAAGATTTATACTGACCGAAGTATATTCAATTTTAAGAACTATTGAATGCCGGCCAGGCACTCTCTATTTTTACGATAAAAATAGCTATATTATTCTAAGAGCATAATTATATCAACAACTGTAAGTCCAAAAAGGGAATAACAAAGAAAACAAGGGTGAATAATATCACCAAATGAATAGGTAATCGGCTATACACTGCCTTAGTGAAGAGATATAATGACCACAGCTTACTATATATTGATATCAACATTTCTGCTGAATTTTAGAGCTTGTAATGCAAGTAAACAGAGTGACTATCCAGCACAACCTGAGTTAATAAATAAATAAAAGATCAATCTCTTATCCGCCAATGAATCAAATTAAATTTTGTGAAAATATTAAAATGCTACGCGTTGATAGACATGTAAAACCTCATTATTTAACTGATTTAACTTTGAGCCGAAAACAATGATAATCCAATGGGACACCCTATCTTGAATTTCATCTTTACATAACTCAAATTTGATATAACGATTTTATTTTTGCAATATTTTGTGTGTGAGCTGCTTTTTATTATAAGTAATATATAAATATGTAAACCCCACGCACACAGATATGCGAAATATTATATACATAATTGATTTTAAATCAAATATAGAGTGTGTGTTCAATATAATAAATAACCTTTATCATTTCTGCACCAGTCGACAACCCCAACCATGAAGAAAAGTTCTTCAGAGATTGGGTAAGTATTGATATAAGAGATGGTAGATTCTGTTCTACATTATCTGTGGATGACAGGTGAAGAAGGTTGACCAAATTAACCGGATATCTTCGAGAAGATCGACACCCAGAACGAGGTAGGTCATCTCAGCGATAAATACGTATAACCTGTCTAACTTTATATATGTTATACAAAAATATTATTTCATTTAAAATTATATTTCATAGATTCAAATACTCTGGATATATCTACCACCAGATGTCGGTACTTTTCCCTATATAAAACCGATTGTTGTTGTTTCCCGTTGGCCGGTTCAAACAGTTTGTAAATTATGTTAATAAATATTTTTTTTTGTTCTTACGCCTTAAGCCAGGCGGGTACTTTTATCAAATTTTTTTTTTTTTTATATATGTATTCCTTTCGCTCAATTAAAGCAATTTCTTATCAAAACTATTTATATTTTCAAGATTTTCCGCGACTGTATACCTAAAACAGCAGACATAATTTTTCCTAATATATATATTACAAAAAAAGAATTTTCGCTGTTGAATTTGGAATTAGAGATATAGAAATATTACTTACTGGTTATTTTTAGATACACGAGTATATTTGTGATATTGCAGTCATAGTAGAAATACTAAAAACTGTTCAAATCAATATTTTATAATTTAGTTTTAATTAAGCTTATAAAATATTAAATACATAGTTTGAGAAAGTATTGCCTGATTTATGACGTAAGGATAATCTGAAACGAAAGGCTTATTCACATATGTACAAATGATTGAGCCGGCCAACGGGAAACAATAACAATGTGTTTATATAGGGAAAACATCGACATCTGTTGGTAGACTCAATAGAGAAATTACTCTGTTAAATGTATTTAATTTTCATATAACATATATAATGCTATTATTTATATAAGGCTAATTCCTGTAATTTAAATAAAATATTAAATGATATTAAATTGTATTTGTATCTCAGTTATTGATATTTACGGGATGTGTTTCAGAGAATCCAGAACTATATTGACTCCTACAAAGAACTCAGCATCGATGATCTTGTTCAATTTTTCAGAAATACTTTGAAATCATGAAGGAAAACCCTGAGCTGTTCAAGTTCGAGGGACCAGCATTCTCTAGTTTCTGGGAAAAGGTCAAGGAGAAATTCAATGAATTTAAGGAGCTTTTCAAAGGAAAATATCAAAAATTGAATGAGTGGTTGAAGGAGCATATTAAAGAAAAGAAAGGATGGTTCGAAGAAAAAAAGAATAAATATAAGGACTGGCCAAAGAGGTGAATATTGGATGCTCATATATATTACCTAATTACATAATATACATAAATGTATATTGTAAACAAAATTTGCATTTCATGACCGCTCAACAATCAAATTTTAGATGGCAGAGCGCCATTTAAAATTCCAATGTAAGCGTTCAAGAAATTCCAATTTTGGTTTAAATATCAAAGCCTGATAATTTTCATATTTTTATTGTTTTTTCATATATATATGAAGCATAAAATATATATAAGGCGCATATTCCTTTTTAAATAAAATAATCTCCACTGTCCTCACTGCAAAGATAAAAATATATTTTTTTAAATATCCATTATATATATTTTTTGTTTATCTATAATATTATAAAATCATCTACCTATCTTCACTTAATAATATTATGAATTTATTTTTCTAATAGGCAAAACAAAATTGAATAAGAATATACATGATTTATCAAGAATATCTTCTCTTTGTTCCTTTAGGAATATATTTTGTGGATCCCCCATCAAATTATGAACATATTTAAAATATATATAAGCATAGATAATTATTCCAATTAATTTTATTCAAGGATTTCAGTGTCGGTTCTCAATAATTGAATTATCCAATGGAATCTTCCCAAATATCGGATTCAAGACAAATCGGCGTATAAGAAATAACATATTTTACAGTATTCATGTGATATGACCATAGAACTATCTTTATCCCATTAGGTATATTTTTCTATCCAAATTGATGACGATATTTCCATTTAAAACACTTTCCTATATAGTTTATCTCTGTAGGATATCTAAATTAAATATTAAAGTTTTTATTAATCATTTTTAAAAATAATAGAAATTATTTAATGCTTAAAACGGAAGTAAGCAGAGAAAATTAAGTTAATTAATTCCAGATTTCTTGAATGTTTTCGGATATGTATGTAATTCTACAAGAATATCAGTATGTACCTAGTTCTGAATTCTTCTCTAACATCAAGCTTCACTTTGTTCATGATTTTGTTAAACACTGGCTGTTTTATATAGCTTCCCAAAATTGTCAGATCTGTTGAAACAAGTCATTCTTATAAAAGAACAATTAATACTTTGTAGGCTAATTTTATACAAGATAAGTACATAGCTAAAATTCTCCTCAAAATCAAGCTATTCATAAAAATGTTTCTGAAACTATTTATTTGTTGCGGTATAGGAGATAATTGAATGATGTGGTGTGTGTACAGGTTCTCGAGCATATCAAAGAGGTGAAGGGACAGGTGGCAAGGGAAGCCTTGGAGCTGTTTGAACTGCACAAGAAGGAAGTTGGAGACATTTGGACCGATCTGAAGAAAGAATTGAAGAACATCCTTAAAGGGGATGAATAATTTCTTCATACCAAAATAAAATCTTCATAAAACCTCTTTACTTCTCTAGTCATGATAATAATGTGTTGAAATACACACAAAGATTTAAAAAATACAAATTATTTTTCTCTAATTGATAGCCATATACATATGTATATGATGGGTATAATACTGTAATATAATATATATACATATAATCGTAAGGATATTGTCCGAAATGTCTTTAATATGAAGATATATATACCAGTATGAATATTATTACAAGAAAGATATAAAACCGCAACATCTTTTATTTAGATGATTAAAGAATCCTTTAGTCAAGTTCTTCTTCGTCAAACTAAAAACCTATAAGCAACGTATGAAAATATTATATAGCTAATAGATAATTTAGGTAAATATAGGACTCTCTATGTCAAAATATATATTACTAAATATAAGTTCAAGAAACCATTGCAGTCACGCAATTTAATTTTGAGAAATATAGTAATGGGTTATCCCTGTTAGGAAATCAAAGAAAGTCACTTTCAGAATAGTACATCTCAAATAACCTACGAATACGTTTATTACCAGTTGTGAAAATAAATAAGAGATAAACCGATGTGTAGCCAAGACCACTATATATCCTAGATGCTGAGCCTGTATATAGGATGATAATTAACACAGCCAAACATCAGCTGCTTCCTCTCGCTCGATGACTCTACAAACGGCCATCACGGTGTTGGAAAGGTCATCAAGATAGATAATAAACAAAGAAGCGACGCCACTAGAACGTCCATGTATGTAGCAATGGTCATCGTGCTGAAACCCTGATTTCTGTGCATAGAGGTCACAATCATCTCAACATATTCGTATTTAGTTATTTTTCTTTAAATTATAGTCATTATTTTTAGAAATGTTGGTCGGTCAAGTAATGGAGAAAAAAGAACGATCTATGCTATATCTGGCCTAATTATTCTACTAAGATATCCATCAGTTGAACAATAGCGCAAGAGTGTTCTTCGGAAATTCAAGACGTTTTTATGAAACTCCCGATCAATGAATCCATATTTCTAACGGTGATAGGATATCGAAGAATACGAGCAGAAATATCACGGAGGAATGCTCTAAGTTCTGGTAGGTGGTTGTCTTCTATCTCGAATTGCTGATTTGAAGAAAGATTTAGTTAATGAAGGAGTTTTTAATTAATGATTTTATTTAATCATACAAACATTACAATTATAACATAATAGAAAGAAAAATAATGGGAAATACAGCAATCAACTTATATATGTGCTATCGAACAACTACAACAACATCAGCGTAGTCAAAAATAAAATAAAAATGTCATAAATGATAATAAGCTTGGAAATTAAATCCAACAAAGCCCCCCTTTAATTTCAAGCTGAATGTCTTTAAGGGCTAATGTCAACAGACATTCATAGCTAATCTGCTACGTCACAACGTGACGTCACGGTTTGTGGTGGCGCTACTTGCCGTTCATTGTTTACCGGAAAAATGTTAACATTTAGGTCTAAATACCAAAGGAATATTTATACACACATTGATATCGAATAAAAATAACAATATACACACTTTTCACATGAGTTGGTCTTATAATTAAATAAAGATAACAAATGGACTAATTTTTCCTTTGATAAAGCCTTTGTTAAAAAGTCAGAAATATTGTTTTCAGTTTTTACATATTGAATGTCAAAAATATTAATTTTCAATTTCTCATGTAAAAAGCAATTGATCTAACTAAATGATTAGATTTATCAGTTGTTTGACCAGACTTAGTCAAAATATTGATGCTTTGTTATCACAAAATATTTGTATTTTAACAAATTAGATGTAATTTCTTCAAAAGAGTATTGGATGTAAATGGCCCTTTTTTACAGTTTGAAGTAATCCACATATTTCGCTATCACAAGTTGAAAGACATGTGTTAGGAATAGTCTTACTTGACCAAGAAATGAAATTTTTATCTAATAAAAGGTTAATCTAGCAGTTGATCTTGCTTTATTGGTCTGCCACAATTCCATGATGCATCCTGTGTAAGCCTTTAATTGGGCATCTCTTTAGTATATATTAATCCATACTGCTTACTTCCTTTTAAATACCTAAGAATTCTCTTAGCTGCACCCATGTGCATTTCTCTAGGGTTTTGATTATATCTGCTCAAAAGAGTAACTGCAAAGGCAATATCAGGCCTAGATTTTAGTTGAGAGATAAAGCAAAGAGCCTATTAATTTTTTATATTGAGTCTTATTGACTTCCTTAGAGCTATTAAAATTATCTAAATTAGTGTTAGGATCTAATCGGGTTGAAATATGCTTGCAATCTTGCATGTTATATTTTTGTAAAATTTTATTTATGTAATTTTCCTGTTTTTAAAATCAGTCTAACATTTCTTTAATGAATTCAATGCCTAAAATGTTACCAGTTGTTAA